CCAGTCAACGATGAAGTGATTTGCATGTAAAGTTGCTGATGTTTCTGCTCTAGCAATGCATCTTTTTTTGATATAAGGTACTTTTTGAACAGATTTCCTGTGTTACTTTGTTTAGTCATGAAAGATGATGATATCGATGTTGCTACTGATAACTGCAGTCGCAATTTTGCAGTTTACAATTAGAAAACTTGGATGAAATTATAAAATCAGCTAGGATTGACACCCAGTGGAGGTTAATTGGAAAATTGAAAGGTGCTTATGGAATTTTAAAATATAGTGAACTCTCAGAATTATTTGGCTATCTTGACAGTTCCCATAGTAATGCAGAGTGTGAGAGGATTTTCAGTGTTGTTGCGAAAAACGAGGGACTAAATTTAGATCTAATATAGTGATGACACATTAGAAAAACTTTTATTAGCGAAAGCAGGCCTACGTGGCAATTGCTATGAACAAATATGAAGTTTTTCTTAATGAGAGCAAAATCTGCCACTGTCCATAACATTTGTATGAAAACTGATTAAGTGCCCTTTTTTTTTTTTTTTTTAACGATGAAAGTAATAAAAATGTTTTTTATGTCTAAGGTATTTTTGTTTTGCTTGCATTTAAGACTTAGTAACTATTTAAAGTTAATTCATTACTAAAATCTATATTTTTATCATTTAAAAAGTCTTTTTAACATTGTGAAAAATCTCCTGATTTTTGAGTGTCATAGGTTGGCAAGTATGTAGTGGTTTTAGATATCTACTTTGGGTCGGACAATCAGTTCCTTTACTGCGCTCTTGCTTTCTTGAGAAAAATAAGGGAAAGTGCCATGTCTTTTAAATTTAGAGATCCTTGAGATCTGCGATAGAAGGCTTGAACTCTATACTTTCACTTATTAGTTTCTTGTACCAGCATGCTAGGAGATGGCTTATAAAGGTATTTTTTGGTAAACAACCAGACAATCCTTTTTAAGCAATTTTTGTTGGGTAGGCGAAGACATAATATAAAACACTCTTGTCATCTACTGCTTTCAATGAGCTGTGGTTATACGAGGGCCATCCAGGAAGTAGATTACGTTTCCGTCTGTGTCCGCTAGGGGCGGGGCTAGCGCGACCATCTTGGGGTCAGAGCGTTGCGCAGCTCAGTCTGCATCTAGCCGTGCTAGTGAGAGGTTCGTGCTGTGCTCCGTTCAGATACTGTGACGGTTTGAAATGTCTGCGTTAATTGAAAATCCCGCGAGGTGCGCTCAGTAATAAGGTTTCTGACTGCAAAAAACTGTAAAACCGATAGAAATCTATCGGCAGCTTCGTGAAGTGTATGGGGACAACATTATCACTGAAGGTGGAGTGCGTCAGTGGGTCATAAGATTTCAAAATGGCCGAACCAATGTTCACGACGAAGATCGAAGTGGGAGACCCAGCATAGTGACCGCCGAACTTCTCGAAAAAGTCGATGCTAAAGTCCGTGAAAATCGAAATTTCACAATAACGGAACTTTCTTTGAGTTTTCCACAAATTTCGCGAAGTTTGTTGCACGAAATCATCAGCGAAAAGCTTGGTTACCACAAGTTTTGTGCAAGATGGATTCCAAAAATCTTGACAGAGGACCACAAAAATCAGCGAATGGCTGCAGCGTTGAACTTTTTGGACGCTTACCATAAGGATGGTGACTCTTTACTCGATCGCATCGTTACTGGTGACGAAACATGGGTGAACATGTGAACTGTGAAACGAAATTGCAATCAATGCAGTGGGGGCACACAAGTTCTCCCCAAAAACCCAAGAAATGCATGCAAACAATGTCGGCAAGGAAGATGATGGCAACTGTTTTTTGGGACAGAAAAGGTGTAATTTTGGTGGACTTCCTGGAAAGAGGCACTACAATAAACTCTCAAAGGTATTGCCAAACTCTCCAAAAAACTCAGAAGAGCAATTCAAAACAAGCGCAGAGGAATGTTGAGCTCTAAGATCTTGTTTGATTCACGACAACGCCCGGCCCCACACGGCAAATGTCACTCGTAAAGTTCTTGAATCTTTTAAGTGGGAGTTGTTTTCCTCATCCGCCGTACAGTCCCGACCTGGCACCGAGCGACTTCCACCTATTCCCAGCAATGAAGAAGTGGCTGGCTATGCAGCGTTTTGATGACGACGCACAGCTGCAAGAAGAGGTAACGAAGTGGTTGAAGGCGCAGGCGGCCGAATTTTTCGACGAAGGAATTTCCAAGCTCGTACATCGCTACGATAAATGCCTTAATTTGTATGGTGACTATGTAGAAAAGTAGTATTTGAGTGTGGCTTTCATCTGTATATAATAAAATTTGTTTCCTATACTTTATTTTTTTATTCCAAAACGTAATTTACTTTCTGGATAGCCCTCGTATTTTGAAAAATTGTTTCCTTAGTGTTATCTTAAACTGTACCTACTAAAAACAGAAGCACAACACCTTAGAACCCCCGATTGTGGCCATATTTTGAATAATTATAGGACCTTTAAAACGGACATACATGAATTGTTTGCAAACTTATAAAGGATTCTAAATGGAATGCACAATGAATCTTACTGTGGCAACTGTAACTTAAAACCAAAAACTGCCAAGAACACAAAATAAATATTAGAATGCAACATTGTCTTTCTACCATGACATGTTTACAGAAAGTTTAAATCGCCTAGAACAACAGTTCTCGAACATTCCAAATTTTATTCTCTCTAATTATTCAATAAAATTCTGCAAGAACGTATCTGAGGTTTCCGATATATGGGGTGGCACCCCCCCCAGAAGAATAAATAACATCAGGAGAAATCTGACCTTGACACTTCAACCACCACAGGTTGCTTCATCAGAACTTTTCTTGGGTATTTTTGTATATTTTGGTTCTCATCCATTATTTGTTTCGCAGAGACCCCAAAGGAAGCTCTATAGTTTGAACTGGACTCCTAATTACAGTATTTTAGCTATAATCAAATTCATTCATAATTAATGGAGCTCAAATTATGGTGACCACAGTTTTTCTCTTCCATGAGTATGCATGCAAAATTTTGTTTGAATCTATTGAGAAATCAGATATGCTGATTCCCATTAGGCAAATACTGAATAATCTATGGATTCGTCTACAACTATAGGATTTTGTAACTCTTGTATTTACTCTTTATATTTTATTTTTTTGCAAAGGGTTAAGGGAGAATGGAGATTGCTTAGTATTTTTTTTTTTTTAATTCAATGCTGATCTTATTTGTAAACCTGGCATCTACATATAAATAAAAGAACAGCAAAGTGAAAAATAAACAGCAATGTGATACAGTTAATTATGATTTGCTTCAGATTCAAATGGAGGCAAACAAAAGCTGCAGATAATTATATACCTGATACCATTTTGAATGTGACTGCTATACAATACCTTCCAAAAATAACAATAAAATAAAAGATTCATCATCAGAAGACAGCAACAGATAGTTTGCAGTATATCCACAGGTACTGGACAACCAAGAGGTTTCATGATTTTGAAAAAGGAAGTTTATACTGTAATATCATCAGCCAGCAGTTGCTCATTAATGCTGAGTTGGATCTTTCAGAATGCATGCCGAATGTGCCATTCTAAGATGAATTTATTTAGCAGAATTTCCTTATGCTTTGGCTGTCATCCAGTCTTGATTTTCACCTAAGTTCGATTACTACTAAATAGGACCATACTGTTTATTGAGTAAAAAGCTATGTCTCATAATCTTTCCCCTAGCACTTAATAATTTCTAATGTTACTGATGACTGCTGATAGCAGATAATGTCTGAAAAAAAATCTAATCAACTATTTTTAATGAATTTGAAATCAATGATATTGTTCAAATTTTTTGTACCAGTGTTTTTACTAACTAATGTGTACAATGTTTTTTACTAATTTTATCATCCAAAAATTGAGAGGGGGAAAATTACGCAAATAATTAAATTTCCAAAGGACACAATTATAGTAAGAACATAACAAATGAAAAGTAGGCATATATATAAACCATAGGTAACTATCATATTATTCATAAAAAACTACATTCCAATATGAATACATAATAAATATTAAGATAGCCTCATTTCTACTTTCTTATAACTTGAATCTCATCCATTTGTATTGTTGTTTCTGTTTCTCCTTAGGCCTCAATCTGTCCATAAATAATTAGAGAAGGAGAATGTGTAGTTGACTCAGGAAAATCACAGAATGAGTGTCAGTTGGTGCTTTCCTTATTATGATTGTCTATTTCTTGTATTAAACTTCTTGTATTAAATTGGCATTAGATTCAACAGTAAAAAAAAAAAAGGCTGAACATGATCTATGCAGGGAGTTTGTGTGGGTTTGTTTTTGTTTAGAAGGCAAAAACAATCACTATGTGGACAAATTGATTTTAAAATTTAGGGAAGCTTGTTCTCTGAATGCACTGAAAAAGGGGAAAATGATATGAATATTTAAAAAATTTTTAAAAACCTGGTCTTAAAAATTCAGAAAGAAAATACATGAGAAAATGTTATTTAAAATAATGTGAACTTGATTTTCTACTTATTTTCATATAGTCTTATATACAAACACTCATACAGTGTCACAAACATATTCTGTACTATGTCATATATATAAGTCTTCTGTAATTAGGCAGAATTTGAGTGAAATTGATGAGCTCCAAGGTTGTGCATTTCCTTTGTCTTGTCAGTACAGCTTGGAGTAAAGACGCTAATAATACAATTTCACACACTGATACTAGCAAATTCCATGAAACAAAACAAAAAGCTTCTATTTATAAAGTAAAATTCCAATTATTAAGACCTAACTTTATTTACAAATATTTTCTCTCAGAAAAAATTCAATAAAATTATTTTACAAAACCAGAGAAGAGCAAGAAAATTCAGTTTGGCAGATACGCCCATATTTCAAATGAAACATATTTTACATAATGGAAAAATAGCAGTGCGAGTGATTTTATCCTTTTCTGGCTATTGTAATGCCCGTTATTACAATGATGTTATCTTCAGCAGTTTCAAACTTCTGAAGCATGTTTAACTGAATGTTCTTTAAATATTTCATTTGTTGAAAACTGCAGTGATTCTAAAAACCCCTATTTCATGATGTATAATTCTGATTCACATGGACATCCTGTAATGGAGACTGCAATGATGAATGAACTGTAAGAGATGACCTGTAAAAAAGAAAAAAAAAAAAAAAAAAAAAAAGATTTTAGTTAAAATTCTCAAAAAATATATTTAGTTTATGATAATATAAAAAGGACATGATTGTTATTGTTACCTAACATTTATTTAACTTCCAATGATTTGAACTGCAAAATCTACATTATGTTCATCTATTAAGTACCACTATTTTGATTATAAGATACTGGGAATGATTCCACAAAATGCAAGATTTAAAATTCATTGTTCAATATTTATTAGGCCCTTTAAAGTAATTCTCTCCAACTCCAATGTATTTATGCCAACACCTTTCCCCCCAATTCTTGAAGCATGCTTGAAAGTCATTTTCATGAAACTCTTTCAGGAATTGCAGCAAATTTCTATGCATTCAAATACTAATCACAACATGGCAATTGCAAAAATGAGAAATTCACATGGTGCATATTTGGTAAATACAGAGCTAGTTACAATCTGCCGAGTTTTCGGTCAACATTTCACAAAAACAATAGCAGTATAAGTATGTGAACTGGTACGAAATTCATGAGTTAGAACAATTCAGATATTTTTCAATTCACACAAATGCCACAAAACTCATACATATTTTTTATTTGGAATTTGGCCAGTTGGTAGAAATTCATAATGCATTATATTTGCAGAAAACAGTCAAAATTACCATATTTTGGAGTTAACTGCGACTGATTTTTTTTGGTCTTGCTTTATCTTTAAGTATCATTCACCTAAATGTTGAGCTTCCCCCCCCCTAAAGTGTAGACCCACATTTCATCAACAACTCTAAGGCATTTAAAGAAAATTTTGCTTTGAGAATGCATCTTCTGGCTACTTCAGCATGCTGTGTTTCGGGGAAAAATTCAACATTTTTGGATAAACTTGAAAAAATTCAAGTGATAAGGAATTCTTTAGCTGATAACGCTAGCTAAGCACTAAATTTAAATTGACATGCTGGTCATTAATTAAAATAGATGGTCTAGCATAGCCTGGTTCAACTTTAACAATTTCTTCCTTGAACATTTTATAACACTAAAAAAAATTTCATTTTGATAAAGTTCTGCAAAGCTTAAACCAATATTTCAGATGATTCTGTAACATAAATTTCATTGCTTACACTAAATTATTTTCTATTAAAAATTTATTTGTAATGATTGTAATTTATTTGTAAAGAAAATGAAATGATTGTTGTCAGATATTGATGAAAGTTATAACAATTTTTAAAAAGTCTTTAAAAGTGATTTCTTGTAAGTGCATATTTTAAACGAATTATTCATAACAAATTTTTTAATTACACAATGTTGTGTGTGTGTGTGGGTGATTATGGCAAAGCCTCGAGGGCTATCTGCCTAAGGGAAGGGATGCCTTCGTGGAGGACTTTCTAAGGGAAACCGGCTCGTATACACGTTACACATGGGGAAAACCACGAAAATGCCCATGCAGCCAGCCCGTTCGCGGGATTCGAACCTCGGACCGAACTACCAGTGTTCAGCGACTTTACCGCTCGGCCGCTCGTGGGCCCTATTACACAATGTTGTACAATGTGTATGTATGTGTATATGTATATACATACATTCATTTGAACATTTCTTGTAAATATCCATGATTAAAACTACTTTACCCCCCTTCACACTTACTCCGCTTTTACGCTCACATTTCACCTTGCACTGTATCATTGTTACTTTTTTTATGATCTACAGCAGTGTTTCTTAAACTATGGGTCGCAACCTCTAGCAAATCGAAATTCTGATGTTGTGAAAATTCAGTTCGATAGATGAATTTAAAGAAACTGCATAAGACTTTAAAGAAATTATATTAATTGACATTAATGAGATTAGACTTTTAAAGACATTACATTAATTGATATTAAGGAGATTAATTACTTGTAAATACAAAAGGAATTTGTAAAGCTATCTAGCGATTCAAACTTACAACTTGAGTTTTCACAAAAAAGCTTGATGAATTCTCACTACTTCTGAAATGGCATTAAATGTTCTTCTCTAATTCAGCAGCACATATTTTTATAAAACTACTTTTTCAGCTTTAATGTTTGAAACCAAATGCCATTCAACGCTGAAACATGTTGAAGATGCTTTATGCAGTGTAAAATATAGCACCAACGTTGAATTTGTTATGTAGCAGAAAATAAGTACATCTGTCTCATTAGAATTTTCTTTTTCGTTTCCTTAAAATAAATCCCAAAACTACTTCATTTTATATGTATATTGTTTACTAAAGCAGAGAATTATGTAGGGGAGGCTATTTATTTTTATATCTTTATTTTACATTTAATATCTGGGGTCACAATTGAAAAAAGTTTAAGAAGCCCTGTTCTACAGGTATATTAAAAGTTATGATCATCATTTCTATTACACACTGTATGCCATTGCATATGCTGTGGCAGAAATCTGCACATATCATGTAGGTTTATTACAACTACTGTTTTAGGAAATCTTTCAGTGTTCCCTTCTGTTTCCATATTGTGCAATTGTAATGAGTTTTAACTGATAATATGATGCAGTGCAATTTTAATAAATGCCTAAAAATATTTTATGCTTTTTCAGTTAGTTCCCACAGATTACATACAAAAGACTTCTAACATATCACAGTTGCAATTACAGGTGGCAAAATAAGCAGTGAACTGGAAAAGGTGGGAAACTATGCACCACATGAATAAATAGGCAGATGATACTGGTGACAATTTTCAAAAAAGTGTTATTTACCAACATTCAAATAAATTACTTCAATGAAATTAAACATTATATGTATTTCTTTAGATAACTATATATTAGTGAATTATGATTCAATTGGCACATTAACCTGCAACTGTGGACACTCACCTATTATGAGTCATGTGTGAACGAACTAGGTTGCCTTCTGCTAATGCAGAAAGAAGGGACAACTCTCCAGCAAGGACAGTCGCACAGATGATTCTAGCAAGCTTTGCTGAATTATTCCCTGGGTTTTCTTCACAAGGACCTTTCACTCCCAGCATCTAACATTAAAAAAATCAAAACTTCACACATTTAAAACTCACATGTTTAATAATGCTACATATAGGTAGGATTACTAATCTATCTGTATTTTAAGATAGCCAACACAGGACATTTTATGAAAAACTAATTTTAGTGCTAAAGAAGGCCTTAAGATTTTTAATTGAACTTTATCACATAAATTACAGAGACTAATTTTTTTATGTACTGAAGCCATTTAATCAGCAAGAAGCATAAAAATGAATCAGCAGGGTGTGACATTTCCAGTTCTGCATTAATAAGAAAATTTTAATTCAGTAAATTTTAATTCATTAATAAGAAATTTAAACTAAATTTCTTAAAGCCTTATTTATTATAATGAATGCATGGGATATTTTTATCCCAGACCCCAAGAAAAAGTTAATACAATAAACTGAGGCTAAGAAATAAAAGCAAATGTAAAAGTTTAGTACTTGATCAACAAAAATAGCCAAAATATTAAAAAATGGACTGCATTTTTCAGAAGGTCTATTGCAAAGATGTAGTTTTTTTTTTTTTTTTTTTTAAATTATGGGAAAGTACGCTATTGGCTATCTCTTTAAAGGAAAGAATGCTTTCAAGGAGGACTGTAAAGCGAAACAGGCTCGTTTCTGTTACACATGGACAAAACAATGAAAATACTCATGCAGCTAGCCCATTTGCCTGGAATCAAACCTACGTTGAACTACCAGTTTCCAGTGACTTTAGTGGGTACCTTTTAAAGATGTAGATAATGCAAAAGTGTATAATTGAAATTGCCCACTAAGGTCACAAAATTTATCTGGTTTTACCTTTAAATACCTGCATCTCAGTAAAATCATTCTTAGGTTCTTCTATGGATGGCATTTTTACTAATAATTATTCTCTATAGTCAAAATTTTATATTTTTAAAAATAAAAAGGAGAGTCTGAAAAATAAAATTAAAACAAGAAGAAAGCATAAGAGTGTATGAAATAAGGCTTTAACTTGTTCTTGAGGGGTTGCTACTACGAGATAATTTGACAGCACAGGCATGTTTTACATGAACAATTTAATACTGCCAAAAATAAAATCAACAAAATTCCTACAAATCAGATATTGAACTGTTGATAAATGCTCATGTCTAAAAAACTCATGGCGAAAATCTTATCAAAAATGCAAAACAAATTAAAAAAATAATATATGGTCTTTAAAAAATAAAATAATTAATTAGCAAAAAAATAAATATAAATCTAATAATCATATGCTTGATTCAAATTATCACCATTTCCTCAGCAATGTATCACTTCGATAAGAAAACCATCTGCACACACCACCACACAGGATTAGATTACATTATCCTCAGGAATGTATCAAGCCCTGGTTTTGATGGAAAAAATAAATGCATGAACTGTTTGGACACAACACCGCCTTGATTAGACCACTATTTCCTGAGCAAAAGCTCTGGATTTAATGAAGAACCGTTTGGACACTGGATTATATAATTTATTATTGTTGTGTCTATGCCTATTCAAACAATGCCATGGGCAACGATAACAATACTGGAAATCTGCAAAATGAATCATACAGGTTTGGTCTCGTAAACAAAATCCAAATTTTCAGGAATTCAGTAAGGATGGTTGTACAATCCAAAATGTGTGCAGTCTTTATTCCTGATCAGAATATCACGGTATTAATGCCTACAGAAGCACCTAGTAATTAGCTTATTTATTTCTGTTTGGTGTTAAACGACTTACTGAAAAACAGCTTACAATTTTTTTACTAAGACTGCAATTACAACTGACCTATATTGGTATGCTTTAAATTACATCTGTATTCAATGTTTTCCAGGGAAAGGGGGGGCAAAATTTAAGGAACAAAGATTATCTTTGTGGGTTACAGTTATCGAAACCAAAAAGGCAGAATTTGTTCTATAAAGGCACAAATGCCAACACTAAAATACAAAAAACTGGGAGGTTTTTGTGCTTTGCAATACACTGAAACATTTAAAGTCACTTCATAATTCATAATCTGTGTTTTAAAACCAATTATAATATAATTTTGATTAAATATATTAATTAAATAGGTAATTAATTATTTAAAGTTTATTTTATGTTATGTTTTCTAGCTACCTATATCCAGGTTGGTTAATTTTCTTAAAATTTAATAATAATAAAAAACCAGTAAGGGGGAACTTTTTAAAAAAATCAAAATGATTTTAAACACAGTGAAAATAAATATGCACAAAATTGCATGGATAAAACTTAATAATGCACCATTATTGATTTAAAGCAAAATGAAATACAAATGTTTAATGACTAAAATACTATGCAAATATTAAACAAAAATTAATTAAATCTTCATAAAATGCTATACAAATCTCTGCAATAGATTAAAATTATTCATATTGAATAAAAATTAACCAGAAAAATTATGCTGACACTCACCTGGAAAGAAAGTTTGATTAGCACAATTTAAGCGTAATTTAGAAAAAGCAATCTCATTACATTTGCATGAAAATACTATAATAACATTTCTTCTTTCTTCAAAACTTAGTGATCAACAATTTGTCTAGAATTGCATTTGAGAGACATTATCTAAATTTAGCTAAATTAAAAACCGAGAGCTTTAGAGGTAACTGGAAGATACGAAATATTGTGAGTCTCCCAGCTTTACCCAGAGTGGCTGGTAGTTTCGGCAAGGTAATAAACAAACACGGCTAAAAAAAAGTTTTGTGAATATCAAGGTGTCCTGCACTCTTGCCAATGGCTAAAATAAAATTGTATGCATATCATAAAAACATGAGAAAATTAAATACCTCTAAACAAGATGACTGAGCTGGCAGGAAAGTTCCTCCACCAACAGTTCCAACTTCTATGGATGGCATTGTGCAACTAATATACAGATCTCCTTTTTTATCTTCCAACACAGTTAAGCAATTGGAACTAGTAACATTTTGAGCTGGATCCTACAAATTATGAAAGAAATATAATCTCAGAATGAATTAAAATTATTTAAAACCAAAGAAGTTTTTATAATTTAATTTTCTACATTTACTTCTTTGTAAAATTTGCATTGTCTTCATATTATCAGCTAATTTTGACAGCAAAAATAAAAAATTATGTGCATCTGTGAGGTTATAATAAAATTATGTAGCACAAACAATTCTACTCCACAAGCATTAACTGGAAAAAATTGCTTTATTTCACTTGTAACTATAATGTTATTTATAACTCAGATATACACTCTTTAGTAAAAAAAAATCGAAGAACTTTTGCGACCATAAGCAAATTTGGTATGCGAAAACATCTTGATCGAACTTGCAAATGATCAGAGTTTCAAGGCAAATGAACAGAAATTGCGATCACAACGAGCATTTCTATTGCGTAATTCGCAAAGTATAAAACCAGTAATAGAGGCCGAAAATTTATCTTTTTTTTTTTTGTTGCTGCAATTGTAATACCGTAAAGAAGTAACTAAAGATGCCATTACAACGATATTGAAGATCTTACAAGCAACTAAACGATTTCGAACATGGTTGCATTGTAAGGTTGCGTGAACTGGGTTGTCATACCGAGCAATAGGCCACCATCTGTTGCATACAGACACTGCTGTGCAAAGCTGTTGGCAGCAATGGTTGCTAGAAGGAAGTTGCTGATGAAATGAAGGCTCTGGAAGGCCAAGGAACACAAATGTGAGGCAAGATAGGATGATTGTTTTGCCAAGCCTGAACCGCCTAAACTGTATCACTGTCGACTATTCAACGTTATACTGCAACGTCTATACCTCCCATGGTAGCATCCACCATCTTAAGGCACTTATCTGAGGCGGGGTTACGCTCACAGAGGCCTTTAAGATGTTTGCTTTTGATTCCACAACATCGCAGAGTCGTCTGGAGTGGTGTCACAGCTAATCATCATGGCTGCCACCACACTGACATCGTATAGTGTTAACCCTTTGAGGGGCGATATATAAAATAATTTAAATTGTAGTAAAATACAACTACTACTTATGGACAACTTATGGACCCTAAGGACACAGAATTGAGACTTAAAAAAAATCTACAGCGAAATCCTGAATTTTAAGAGCCGGTAATATTTATACCGGCGCCCCTCTAACATTTTTTCCAGTAGCTGCCACTGCTAATTTTTTTTTTTAAATTAATTTTGCGTACTTTTTATGTGCTTCTGTAGTGATGAGTGCTTGAATATAGTTATAAGCTTTCTTCAATTCAATATATTATTTTATAATATATATATATAAACACTGCATGCGTAAATGTATCATGCTGACTGAACTAGTATAATATTACAAGCAGATGTAACTCAGCCGAAAATTTAAAAAATTGAAGATGAAACACTATGACTCAGTGAGAAAGTATGCTGCATTTTTGAAGTTGATTTTATGCTTTAGATAATATGGGAAAATCCATGCTTCATACTATGATACGAAGAATCCCCCCCCTCCACGCATACACACTTTAGTGATTGAGGACTGTAGCGTCCCTTTTTTATTTTTGTTAATATAGGTTGTAATATATTTTTTGTTCAGGAAGAAACACTGTTAAACAATTTATTATTTGATACACCTCAAAGCTATTCTTTGGCTCTTTCCGATTTTAACCCCTTTGGCTTCCTAGGGGCTCCTTTTCAACTTTTGGATAACATGGCATTAAACATTTTGGCATCTACAAGGGCCTTAAATATTTTCCCTCCTTTCGACAAACTGTGAAAATTTATTTCGGAAACACCTATTTGTATCAACCAGAGGGAAAATTTCTCTCGTCTTTCATCTGAAATTAACAAAGAATTAAAAGAATTTCCCTAAAGAATAAAAGCATCCTTCAACCAGCGTTTTTGTGATTACACTATGAGATATATTATGCGAGCTTTCCCTTTGTATGATCTTATCACACCTCACAAAGGGAAGAAGGCGTGACTCCCGAATGACAAATTGGTTGTCAATCACCTCTTTTCATTTTCCTGGCATTCTAGGATTTTGGAGAACACGAAGCAACAGGTGTCTTTCGGGGGCTAGCATGCCACATTTAACCCCCACAATTGTGTAAAGTTTTGACCCCAGATGGCAATTTTGAAATGAGTCTTCTCTTGGGAAAGGGATAAGTGCTGAAATAAAAATTTTAACTAAACGCAGACTGATGAAACTTGAGCTGAGTACACAAAGAATAAATGAAACTATTATACTTGTATTCAGTCCTAGCAGAGTCAGTAAACTCCTCATTCCTTCATGATACTACACCAAAATTAAAATTAAACAAAAATTTTACCCTAAGTTTAATCTAAATTTTCTTTTCCAGAGTGAAAAAAATGGTCTCCTTATTCGTTACCTATGGGGCGCACATATATCCGTCTGCGTATCAATTTTTTTATTTATCGAGTGTTTAAATACGAGGGCCATCCAGGAAGTAGATTACGTTTCCGTCTGTGTCCGCTAGGGGCGGGGCTAGCGCGGCCATCTTGGGGTCAGAGCGTTGCGCAGCTCAGTCTGCATCTAGCCGTGCTAGTGAGAGGTTCGTGCTGTGCTCCGTTCAGATACTGTGACGGTTTGAAATGTCTGCGTTAATTGAAAATCCCGCGAGCTGCGAGGTGCGCTCAGTAATAAGGTTTCTGACTGCAAAAAACTGTAAACCGATAGAAATCTATCGGCAGCTTCGTGAAGTGTATGGGGACAACATTATCACTGAAGGTGGAGTGCGTCAGTGGGTCATAAGATTTCAAAATGGCCGAACCAATGTTCACGACGAAGATCGAAGTGGGAGACCCAGCATAGTGACCGCCGAACTTCTCGAAAAAGTCGATGCTAAAGTCCGTGAAAATCGAAATTTCACAATAACGGAACTTTCTTTGAGTTTTCCACAAATTTCGCGAAGTTTGTTGCACGAAATCATCAGCGAAAAGCTTGGTTACCACAAGTTTTGTGCAAGATGGATTCCAAAAATCTTGACAGAGGACCACAAAAATCAGCGAATGGCTGCAGCGTTGAACTTTTTGGACGCTTACCATAAGGATGGTGACTCTTTACTCGATCGCATCGTTACTGGTGACGAAACATGGGTGAAACATGTGAACTGTGAAACGAAATTGCAATCAATGCAGTGGGGGCACACAAGTTCTCCCCAAAAACCCAAGAAATGCATGCAAACAATGTCGGCAAGGAAGATGATGGCGACTGTTTTTTGGGACAGAAAAGGTGTAATTTTGGTGGACTTCCTGGAAAGAGGCACTACAATAAACTCTCAAAGGTATTGCCAAACTCTCCAAAAACTCAGAAGAGCAATTCAAAACAAGCGCAGAGGAATGTTGAGCTCTAAGATCTTGTTGATTCACGACAACGCCCGGCCCCACACGGCAAATGTCACTCGTAAAGTTCTTGAATCTTTTAAGTGGGAGTTGTTTCCTCATCCGCCGTACAGTCCCGACCTGGCACCGAGCGACTTCCACCTATTCCCAGCAATGAAGAAGTGGCTGGCTATGCAGCGTTTTGATGACGACGCACAGCTGCAAGAAGAGGTAACGAAGTGGTTGAAGGCGCAGGCGGCCGAATTTTTCGACGAAGGAATTTCCAAGCTCGTACATCGCTACGATAAATGCCTTAATTTGTATGGTGACTATGTAGAAAAGTAGTATTTGAGTGTGGCTTTCATCTGTATATAATAAAATTTGTTTCCTATACTTTGTTTATTTTTTTATTCCAAAACGTAATCTACTTTCTGGATAGCCCTCGTATTAAATCAGATGTCATATATATTGCAGATTTGATTTTTCTTTCCTTAATAGAATTATTCTTCAACATGATACCTGGACGAGGTATATTAATTATACTGAAAAACTGACATCTGGGTGTTGCATTAGAATCAAAACAAACCAACACTTAGATATAGTTTTGGTGTAGAAACTTGCATTTCGACGTTAAAAATTGATAAACAATCGGTATATATTATATACTGGTGCCCTTCAAATGGTTAAGCGATGAATCCTGTTTCACTCTTGAAGCAGACGACCACCATGTTCATATCTGGAGAGGATGGGGCCAGCAGTCCCAATCAGCCTTTGTTTTACAAAGGCATACAGCCATAACCCCTGGCGTGATGATGTGTGGCACTATTTCTTATGATAGCAGGTCATCTTTAGTCATCCTCCATACATCTTTAACACCTCAATGACATGCTGATATCATCCTGCAGTCAGTTTCATTACCCTTCATGGCATGTCATCTCGGGGCCATTTTCTAACAAGATAATGCCAGGCCACATACGTCTTGCACATCTCTGGGCTGCCTCCATGCGGTTGATACTCTTCCTTGGACAGCAAGGTCACCAGACCTTTCACCAATCAAGCATGACTGGGATATGTTAGGCAGTCAGATTCGGGCACCACAAAATATCACAGATCTGGAGCGACAACAGATGAGAATGTGTCATAGGATGACATTAGGAATCTCAAACAGTCCTTGCCTTGATGAATTCCAAGCATGCATTGCCACAAGTGGTGGTTCGTCCAACTACTAATGGGTGACTGTGAGCAGTGAACAGGTACTATGACCTCGATTTTTTAATCATTTTATTATCTGTGTACGAGTTATACACATATTCATTTTCATCAAAAACAACCACTTCCTTCATGGTGCTTCGATTTTTTTGCAAAAGAGTGTATATTATATTGGTTCTTGAACAAGTAAATGCTGAACTAAATACAACATACACTCTGTATGCCATACACTGAACACATCAATCCATCCCTACAAGCATTTCTAAATCCGGTCCTGATAACAGAAGAGTACCAATAATACTTAGATGATACATCTTTTTATATATCACCATTATGACTTGCAACATGGCACTAAAACAATACAGTATAACCCTGATGGTACAGAGATTATGTTAGGTTAGGCAATTTGAATGTGGCAAAGCACAGGTGGGCTTCTGTATCAAAGGAAAGGGATAACTTCATAAAGGACTCTGTACCAGAAACTCATGAAATTTACATTACACATGGAGAAAATCACAAAAAATATCATACTTGCCAACCTATGACACTCAAAAATCAGAAGAATTTTCAACGACAAAAATAATTTTAAAATAAAAATATGTAGAAAGAAAAATATATCTTTTAATAATAAATTAATTTTAAATAGTAACTAATTATTATCTGAAAATAAAAATGTTAAAAAACTGCCTATAGTTTTTAACTTTAGAAAGGTTTTTGTCTTTGCACTTGAGCATTTCTTAGCAATTTTACTGCTGGGAAGCATCTTTCTAAAAATGCTGTAGCATGATCTGAAGCCTTCAGAGGCAGGTTGTGCTTCAGTAAAAATACAGAGATCACACAAACTGCCTTTAACATTTTGGTCCTTTGATTCCACAGAAAAATTTCATTTTCTTTCCAGCCTAACACACGTAGCCCTTGTAAACGCACATGTTTAAGAACATTGGCAATTTCACCGTGTGAAATCAAAAAATCACAATGACAAACGATACACATTGCAATATTACATTTCCCTTGACAAAATAATAGAAGGAAAGTCATCTGGGTACGATTTTTGAAAAGTAAATGAGTATTTTACAATTTTTGCAGACATAACTAAAGCAGAAGATTGTTGTTTCAGGGAAGCACGTGAAACTTACGTTGTTCACTGGCGAGACGAACGAAATAAACAATCTCGATCTTGCTTTGTGATCATTGTCTAATATATGCCAGATGATCCGCAGTGGAGCTTAATTCTCATTGAAGAACTGGAACTCAAATTTTCGGACTCTCATACCCATAGCAGAAATGTGCCATACCTCATTGGTTCGACATCAATATTTTTTTTTATATGCATCTAGAAAAAACAAACTTTTTTGGGAGGAAGGGGGGCAAATAATGAAGTACATAACATTTTGGGGGGCCAAGCTACATAAAAATCGTGAGAAATTTTAAGAATAAGAGAAGTCGGGAGAAATATGTTAAAAATCGTATTGGTGGGTGTAAAGTCTCCTGCCTAAATCGGGAGAGTTGGCAACTCTGAAATATCCAGTCCATCCAGGACATGGAGCCAGTCCATTTGCTGATGTTTATATAGGTCTAAATAGGGTAACTTTAATTAGAACCACCCTGTATGCATGTGAAGATGGATGCTTTCTTTCTATATTACACACCTTTTGAAATTTAGTGTACATACACTGCCAGATATGTGCCACACTGTATTCCACTGTACCACCTGTCTCAATAGCAATGATTATTTGCTGCACTTAGTTCAGTGTTATTTTGTATTTTGAACAAAATGGGAGTTAATTACTTTGTTGCTCTAACAGGGTAACACTACGTGTACACATGCTCATTACTGCACGTTGGTACCATGTCATTGCTTGGGGACTACTGTAATTCTAACACCACTAATATTTATACTATAATATAATGAATTATAAGCCATTTGGCTAATTGTACAACATACTTGTTACTCAAACAATACTCATTAGCAATTTTGTGCTGTGTATCACACTACACAATTACACAATTAGATCAGCGACATATAATACACATGCCACCTGTCAGAAATGTACCTATAATACAGTAATGTCATAACTTACAGATGCACTATATTGTCCAATATACGGCACACACTCCTTTATTTCCACTATTTTTAATTGCAGATGATTTAAAATACCACACTTTGAGTTACTGTTTTTATGTTTATGTCATCTCTCACTGAAAGTTTTGTGACGATTGCTATCAGGAATTTCAAGTTTTCCATAACAAAAGGCCTCATAAAGCCCTAAAATGAAAATGGAAGGTGAGTGGGGTGGGGGAAATTTTTTTTATTTTAATGCTTTTCATGTATGTTCATAGCATACGTTAAGATATAATTGATATAAAATGCATAGTACTCTAGATGCTGATATTCAAAAAAGGACTAAGATTTTTCTTAAAAACAGAATTATTTTGAATTTTAATTATCGAAAGACATTTTTCACCCTTTATTGCCAATATATTGTCTTCTTAACACAACATTTATAATTTCCATTGAAAACAACCAGTAATATACTCATTCTTCACGAGCTCAAGTTCTGCTATAAAATCTGTATGCTTGAAGAATTTTAGAACTTCTGCTATTAATGTAGTTTTATACAAATTGGTTAGAAAAAAAAAAAAGATCCCCCCATATGAGAAATTAATAAATTCTCCATCAATCAATGCTCATTCCTTAAGCTAGCTATGGCTATAGTCAATTCCGTCATTGTTTCAATTTTGTCTCTTAAAATTTATTAGAAAAACAATTTGATTTTTCAAACAAATTTCCTTCCTAAAATTCTATACCTCCCTCAAAATTTTCAGTTGGCAATTTATATCTCTTAACCCTTTAACAGTTTGACTCAGATTATCTCGTTCTTTTATGCAGGTCACTTAACTGATTGTTACTGAAGACTGCAATTTAAATATACTCTTGAAAATGAGCTTACCCATGTTTGTGTTACAATTAAGATTACATCAAAGAGCAGCTAGCCCGGATTTTTGTCTTACTTTCACCCCCAAATGACTAAGGAGACAAGCATCCCTCCAACCCTGATGGCAACGGGTAATGACCCTCAATAGCGTGGGAACAACTCTTTTTGATGTTTTATGATAAAGGCCTTACACTAGTTCTAACATAACAAGAAATTTGTTACCAGTCAGAAAGTGAAAAGAAATAGAGAAATTTCTCTTTTACAGTTGTTTAAGAAATAAAAAAAAAAAAAAGATTCTTATAAAATAAGCTTTTATTTATAACTCATGATTAACGAATTAAAAAAAAAGAAAGAAAAGTAATTTAGATACTCTTCTACTATTGAGACCAGATTCAGGAATGTATGTATGCGTCTGTGTGCATATATGTGTAAACACATACATACCTACATATATACACACATACATGAATACATACATCCATATGTACGTGGAAAAATGTTTGAATCCAGTCCCGATAACAGAACAGTACTCTAATTTATTATATAGATCAATAGGAATAAGAGATAAAATAATATTCTTTACAAAATTCATCTACAAATTGATGTCATTAATAATAATAATTAAAAAAGGGGGGGCACTTTTGATTAATTTATAAAGGCATATGTTTTTTATATTGTGATTTGACTGCTTGATTTCGTTATTTAAGCGCCTACACCTTTATGATTCAAGATATAAATTTTACACGAATATTGTAATGAGGCTTAATCTCTTGTTACCATTAAACTATACTGTAAATTGGGGATGCACAACTTGTGGCCAGCTTCAAAATTTTGTTGCGATTTGACATATCGGTTGTCTCTAGAAAGGGTTGTGAGAAGAAAAATTTCGCTGCTTCCACCTTCATTATTTATTCTAGTAAGTTTCACCATCTGAGCGCGAAAACTGCTCTTAGTCTGTACGGCGCACAAGTTGAGGAAGGGTCTCTGGTATGATGTGACACGAGTGCGTTTGCACACATGTGCTAGTAAAAAGGAAGAGAAAAATATTTGCTGGGATCAGAAGTGCCGCATTCATTTGCTTTGCATTGTTGCACTTTTGGCTTCGCCGTTCCCTCGTTGAAAAAAGGAATGTATTTACAAAGGCATCTTCACAATTAGGTAACTGTGTTGAAGTTAGTATGGGAACCGTATCCTTAATTACTAAAAGTGGCTGCCCATTTACTGATGGCGATTTTGAAAAGGAGTGTATATACTGAGAAAGTATGCCCTGAAGCTATGAAGAAATTTAAAAACATGTGTCTCAGCAGAACAACACTAAAGAAAAATTGAAAATTTATATAATGATGTTATGTAAAATTGCTGCCACCAAATTTAAGTACTTTTCTAGCAGTTGATGAGTTAACATACATTACGTCAACATGTCAGCTGCTATTGTTTGTTAAAGGAATTCCTGAAGTAACTGAAGCACTTGTTGGAAATGAAAGGCGAACAACTGAAGCTGATATTTTATCCTCCATTTTAATTTCGTATTCTGCACATAATTTTGATACAAACAAACTTGTTAGTATCACTACTGATGCAACTCCAACCATAACTGGAATTCATAATGACATGGTGAGTCTATCATCACCTGTCATCACGCAATACTAAGAAACCAGTAACCAGAAAAGATAGGTTGAGGGAAAAAAATGTGAAATTAATTCTATAGTTTTTTATTTTTAAATAAACAATAAGCTTTATTGAAAAAGAGGATTTTAATATTAAGAATTTGGATGCAATTCCGAGATATATTTTTCTCATGTGTGTTTTTTTTACACACTCCAATTGTGGACCCAAAAATAATGAAAAATGCATTTTAGAGAATTTTATATAGTTAAATAAAATTTCAAAAAAACAAAACACATACTGCCAGTAAAACCAAACAACATAAAATTTTGTGAAAAATAAAATGGGACAGTAAAAAACATCTGATGATTTTAAAGACTTTTATAAAAATATGCAATGATTAAGGGGTTACTACCTTGAAAAATCATGGCACCAGTTAGTTTCAATATTTGGAATTTGACAATATACGTCTGTGAATACTTAATATACAAACAAAAAACTAAAAAAATAAACATGAAAATACAGATTACTTACTTGACCTGTAGCAAGAAAGATAGCAGTGACAATATTAGCAGCTTGAGCATTAAATCCACCAATGCTTCCTGCCATAGCAGAACCAATGAAATTTTTCTGAATATTTAACTTTATTAAAGTAGCTACATCTGTTTTTAAGACCTGGAAATAATCAAAGAAAAACATAAATGAATACTTTTTATTTCAAAAACAGCAAGAGAATATGTGTAAGTTTTATTACTTTAATAAGCTACTTACAATAAAGCTAATAACCAGTAAACAGTCTCCCTCAGAATCTGTTTTGGTTTATCGTGTTTGTTGATAAGTTGATTTTTTTTTCAAGTGAAATAAACTGTTTTGATAATGTGTTTTATGATAATTGATAGAGAACTGTGAGGTTTACAAAACAGTTAATTTAGTTTTTTAACCCCAATATACTGAGTAAGTCAAAATGAATGGTCCAATTTCATAGGTGCACTACGCAAAATGTAATAAATGTATTCATTAAAAATTTAAATACAGGCAGAAGTAATATAAGCAAGTTTTGAATAGTCATCAATAGATGGCACTGGAACTCAAATTGTCATCAGTGTTTCTGCAAAAAGGAAAGGGGGCAGAAAAACAATGCCTTTATAAAATGGCGACGCAACAGCAAAAAGCATTTTGTGTGCTTGAATTTCATGTTAGCAAGTCTAGCCTCAGATCTCAACCCAAGCGATTTTTTTTCTGGGGTGGGGTCGTAAAAGATCACATGTAAGTGTCATATCACAGCTGCTGTTGCCAGCATCGATACAGACATGCTGCACAAAGCTTGTCAAGAATTACATTTGAGACTTGATGTATACCGTATAACAAAAGGAACGCAAACTGAACATTTGTGAGGCATAGATTCAAAATTTGCTTATATTACCTCCATGTATGTACATTTTCAATGAATAACTTTATTGCATTTTATGTAATGCATTCATGAAATTGTGGCATTCATTTTTGACTTACACTGTACTTTCTGTTTTTTACAGGTGTCATGTCAACAATAGAATGTCATGTCAAGAAAAAAGAGCATTTTCAATACCTTCTGCTTTTTGCATTTAATTGAGGTGCCAAAGAAACTGCTTGAGACATTTGTTACGTATACAGCAAAGAAGTGATGCCCCTTAGGATGGCTCAGAATTGATTTAAGTGATTCTAAAATGCAATTTTGACCTTAAAGACATGCATCACACTGGACACCCCATTATGTTTGAATGGAATCAGTTCATTCATGAAAATCCATGCCAAATGTCAAGGGAATTGGCAGAGATAATGGAATGCTTCCACAGTACCATAGAGGATCACGTTCACTCAATGGGAAAGGTTTAAAAGTGGGGTGCATGGGTTCAGCATGTTTTGAACGACAACAACAAGCTGAGGTACACGTGCCTAAGAGAGGATCGATAGAATTAAATGGACAACAGCAATCTTAATTAAGAGAGACATATAGCAATTACTAATCAAATTTAAGAAGGAAAAAAAAAACAACTTAGTTACCAGAGCTGGCAGCACTATAATGGACTGAAAACGACAGAGAACGGCCCAACCACCGACACCGGGATTCACATCACAGTGAAGTACAGACAGCAGGAGAAAAACTCGTCCCTTTCCATCAGCTTGTAAGTTCGCCATACAGGTTTAAAATGTCTTTCGCCAATCGGCGGTTTTCTGTATACTTTTGAGTTTGTATCGCATGTTCTGCGATGCCACTGCAAAGCCATGATCTCCACTGGTTTTCTTGCCTGTCATCGGTCAACTTATGGACATATAGAGATATAGAAAGATTCCTCTACCGAATTGTTACCAAAGACAAAAAATGATGCCTGTACAGCAACATGAAGCAGCACAAAGAATGGTTTAGCCCCCCAAAAACGGGCAACACTGCAAGCAAAATAAGATCTTCACCTGCATAAAATGATATTGTGCATATGGTGGGACTGGAAAGGCATGATCTACTACAAACTGCTTGCTCAGAACCAAACAGTGAATGTAAAACTTACCCTGCAATGACTCAACAATGCTATCTAGCAAAAATGACCTGATCGGCAACATGGTGTTCTTTTGCAGCATGAAAACATCAGCCCTCACATCACCAATATAATCAAGGAAGTCATTCAAAAGCTTGGCTAGGAAGTGCTGAAACATACTTCCTATTCTACCGCCTTGGTGCCTTTCGATTTCTATATATTCCGACCCTCCATGAATACACTACATGCCGTTTTGTTCAATAATATCGTGGAACCGAAGGCCTGGCTGAATGATTTCTTCCAAGTCCAAATCCGGTGATTTCTGCTGTTGAGGCACCGAACAGCTTGTTGAATGCTGAAAAGAAGCTGTACACAACAACGGAGAATACCTTATTGATTGATTTGCTGTTCAATTCTTGTTTATTTTTGTGGAAACCCAAACTAATCAAAAAAACTTATCGGCCAACCAAATATTGCTTCTTAAATTCTTCAAGTAAATGCTTTAAGAACCAACCTTTCTAAATAAATGTTTATCTAAAAACAATTTAAATTAAAATTTTTCAATAAGCTAGAAAATATATACAGAGATTTAAATTGACCTTTCATTACATCAATAATAGTTTTTTTAAATAAATACGTTTTAACCATTTAAAGGGAACCTGTATATGAGATATACCAGATGTTTGTCAATTTATTAACCTGCTAAAAATGCTAATTTTTCTACACCAAAACCTGTAATCTTAAGTTTTTAGTATTTCTTTTTGATTCTAAATAGTAGCACTACCCTATGAATCCTCAATATTTTGCAGTTATGAAATTAATATACTTGTCCAAGGTATCAGTTTGAAGATTCATAAATTCTATTGGTGGGGAAGAAAAAATTCAAAATCGCCAATATGACATATACAGACTGAATCTATATATTTACTGTATTTCGGTCAGAAGTGATAATTAACAGAAGATTATTTATACGATTTTAACGGTATATAATATAATACTGACCCTATTGAGGGGTCGTACATCGAAATATGGAAAGCATTGGCATGCCATTTCAGAAAACGTCCGATTTTGTGTCAAAATACCTATATTAGAACAGTGTTATATATAAATCTAATACATATCCTAATATCCTAAGTCGAGCTTTTGAGACATGAAAAACGCAAGTTAAACTTCGTCCATCAGCCAGAACGGGAGATATAGAAATGTCCCCCTTCTTTTTTTTTTTCTCTCGCAGTGGACATAAATATTTTAACTGAGAAGCCACCGTTAGTGTTGGAAGATATAACATTAGAAGGAAATACGATAATGTGTTTTCAGCTCATTATATATTCTGATCATATGAATTCTGACATACTATATTCATTATGTACTCTAACAGAGAATACATAATATTGTTCATTACATGCATACTGTTAGAATTTGAAATAAAATGTTTGTTGTACAGGGTGCGGAGATCTATACCATCGATGAGTTCAGTTCAATTTTCTGAAATGGAAACTGGATTTCGACATTACAAATTATGTTAGCAGAATCTTTTTTTTTTTTTTTTTTTTTACTTTTTACTTTTTACATTACGATATGTCACACTGTTATGTATATATCATTCATTTTCTTTGATGTTGAGGCGTTTTATTTATTTTACTCACAACTTCGCAAATAATCACTTCGTGTTGCGACTTGGCATATCAAAAGAAATTTAATTTATTTTTAAAACTTAATTAATCTGTAATTTCTAAGGCCATTAGTTAGAGACTTGTATAAAATCCCCCTTCTATTTACAGTGTTACCCCAAAGGACAAGTTTGTTACATAAATGTATGCAAAGACTTTAAATATATGCGGAAGCTCCAATTAAGAAAAAAAATGTGCCAATATTAGATTTAAGATTAGGCTTAAGAGCTGCAGAGAGTTATTTGAAAGTAGGAATCGGGAAAAATGAGCAATGCTCTCGCCGAGACTCGAACGTGGACCTATCGAATACACGCGGTGTGTGCTACCTTTACACAACGAAGTTATGCAGAAAGGAGGGAGAAAATGCCTTATACAGCAAACTCAATTGAGCAAATATTTTGAATAATACTTTACTGATGTCATTTCGTCCTTTGAAATTGGTAACTGTATTCAAAATAAATGCCAACAGACGTCCAAGCCCATATGAAATACTTGCTCCTACACACTCTTTCTAAGCAATCAATGGCGGGGTTATTAGTATATTGAGCTGGCAAGAATGTAATTTTGGTTTTTAGTGTGAAATAATCCTCAGTTTTTCTGTACAAAAATGAACTTTAATTGGTTAAATACCTTCCATTCTGTTCGATGGTCTTTTGCCATCTTTCTGGTAACTTCATGATCCCACTTTCATAAAACTTAATGTTTATCAAAAAAAAAAAAAAAAAAAAAAAAATAGCGGATACTACATCACTTCCCAACCAAGCTCCAGTAATTTCTTACATGTTGCTAAATATGTTGAGGCCTCGCACTGTCGTGGTGAAACACGATTCTTTTGCAATTTGCCAATTCTAGCCCTTTCTTCTTTGATTGCTTCCTTTAATTTCATAAGTTGTTGGCATTAAACATCTGAGTTGATCGTTTGGTTACTTCGAAGTAGCTAAAAATACACAAAA